TCTATTTTACTTGTGTAAATTTTGTTTTTTAATATTGCAGTTAAACAACAGGACGGCGCCTCGTCGGATTAAAACATTCCAACAACGACAATAATAGATTATTATGCTCTGGGCGTGGCCAAGTGTGGAAAAAACCTCATTCAGAGAACATCAACAGTAATAGCCGTAGAAAAAATTCCAAGCGACTTGTTGATCCCTGACCAATCAACAATATTATTTATTTGTACTTTGCAATTTATTTAATTTTTTGAATTAACTTAAACTTGAACATTTTTCAATGTTATAAAATAATTTTTTTTCATAAAAATAAGCTAAACATCGAAAATCCGATTTCGGACACAACTTAGTAAGATAGCCAAAGAACTCATATCTCTTTACGGAATTGAAATCGAACCATCCTGAGTAGTAGAAATTCTGTCAGGCTTTTTGGTCTAAAACGTCAAATAACAGACCGATTTTAATCTCGTTAAAAGGGTTATCTAGGTTTTTTTTTTTGTAGATGTTATGTGTATTAGTCATCAGTAATAAGTGATAACAGCTGTTACTCAGTAATTCATGAGTACCTATCAAGTGCCACGCACGATAATTCGTTATTATTTCGAGGAATAAGAGATAGAAATAATGCTATATCAGGAATTTGCTTGATAAATGGAAATCGGATTGTTCGAAACACATACATATGTATACCTACTTGTACTCCGACCATGTCCGTATTATGTGCGCAACGACAAACGGAAACTATTTTAATCAAAAGTGTTCCTTCTGTCGTCGAAGCGGCGGTGCGAAAAGCAGCATCGCATCAGCCTCTTATGACTTGTTTTGTGACAGAGTCCTCTTGCCGGCGCTAATGGAATATAAACAATTTAGTAATCGAGACGTTTCACCATGAAACGGTTACTCGAGCCTTAGATCTTCGGATTTCCAGTAACGTCTTGTGTTCGTGTCGCACGCACATTAATTCTAACGCCGACTACGTGCCGAGAGTTCCAATTCCGAGTATGTATCAATAGCCAGAAATGTTCGGTCGCTTCGATTTCAGTCCACGAATTTAATTATGTATTCAACAGCCAAACGAACCGAAAGAATCAAAGTCGAAACAATTTATTAGATAGGTGGAATTTACATCAATGGTGTGTATGAGTAATTTCATTGAAAGTGGTATATTTGAGTTCATATGAGCTCATGAGTCATTACCATTGTCATCAAGAATGTGTAAAAATTTGTTCATTTAGAGTGAATTTAGGTCGAAAAAATATGTCAACCAAATTGGTCGACACCACTCACAACCCTAACGTGTCACGAGGTCTATGGCTGACCCTTTTGAACCTGACATGGTGATGGGTCATTTGATAGAAGCGACATTGATATAGTAGGTATGGCAGCATTGGTTGCTAAAGAATGATGGTTGAGGAAATTTTAGGTGTATTATACTCACTGATCTTACTATATTCTCTCCAAAATCAACCACAAAGTTCACTCTGTCTGAGTAGTAGTTTATCGTCAGTAAAATTGTGCTCATAAGATAAATTTATGGGTGTGGTTTTCACTCACCACACTCGCCTGTCAATTAAAAGTCAGTGGTATATTTGGTAAATGAAAAACAAAACTTATCAACGTTCAAACTATTTTGGATTTTGACGTTTGAATTGATAAGAAAGAGGATGTTTGAAAATGAAATTTAGCATAACATTATAAACACAAAAGTACATCGTACATTATGTTTCTTTAAAATCTATCGATTGATGAACCCTTAAGCTCACTGGACATTCCTACGCCTCTTTACATTCGCTAATAAGTCTAAACAATCCTATTTCTGTACAACTTTCTCGTCGCCAAACAATTATATTTACATAGAATCTTGGGTTAATTTTTTCCCCTGAACCTAAAGAGGTAAGAAGAGAATGCCAGGTGGAGTTCCATAAGTTGTAAAACTCCTGTTTCTTGAATTTAGATGAACTTAACAGGTCCCTCGAGGATAGGACATACATTGATTCAAAATGTTTTGTTTTAGAAGAATAACCTAAGTGATTATTATTATATCCGTGACGTAATAAATGATTATGAGTTAAGCCGTTACTTAAACTAATAAGTACTTGTCACACGGCCGTGAAGGCCTGGTCGTTCTCGGTCGGGTAATAGATATTTGATAATAATTCATATTCGATGTAAACGGATTATCGTCGCTCCGGCAGATGGGACAGGCTTGTTTAATGCATTATAATTGGACCCGCGAGGTCTGAGAGAGCTGCCGGTGTCAGTGTCGGCTAATTTACTCAAGAAGTCTAGGGACATCAATTTCTTCTCGATCCTCGCCGCAGGCCTGTGCTGTAACGCTTTGCATGGGATTTAAATAATAAACCAATGTCGGAAATGTTAGATTTTGGGTCTTGCTTACCTACTTAAACCGTACCGGACAAGATTGGTTGTCATATCGTACCAGGTATTCTCATTTTCACGTCGAACTTTACAGCATTTTGCATTTTTAATTCGCTGCATTTGTTTTTATTGACAAGACCATAACAATTGATTTAGGCTTACTACACAAATCAAACATTCTATCTAGTTTGTGTCTTGTGGAGAAAAAAAATCGCTCCATCACCCTTGAAATCGGAGAAAAAAAAGAAGAAACTAAACGAATTTTCAATTTTGAGTAGCTATAATTTCGAGAAAATGGTCAGGTCGAGTTGAAATTGTTAAGACATATTCATTTAGTGTCTCCCTATAACATAACAGCCTCAAATTTAAATTATATCTATTTTCCAATCCCCCCCCTCATCAATAAATAATTCAAGGGGCTTACAAGGTATCGTGTGTCTAGAGAAATTAGTTCTAATTTTGTATGGAATATTCTTGAAATAAATTGGCAACGGCAAAAGTTGACATATAAAAAAAAAGTCATAAAGCCCTCATAATAACGCCAATGTTTCGAAAGTCAATTAATGATCATTATGGACGTGTCCTCAAAATGTATAAATAATATTAACAAATCACTAAAGAGATCTTAACCAACATAAATGTAAATGTACTAAAACTAAGTTTATGTGCATAATGACAATGTTAGACAGAATAAAGAATGGTTATACAGAAAGACCATTCCTAATGGGGTTTTCCCAATTTAAAAAAATTAAAAAGTATAACACTACATACATTAGTGTGCAGTACTAATATTTGACAAAACTTAACTGATATTCTTCCACACATTTTAATTGGAGCCCAAAAATTAATTTTCTGAATATTAAGTTTCTTAAATATATGTAATAGTGTTGCAATAGTCAATACTCAATTTTTAACTTATTTTTTGTACCTCTTCATTAAAGACATTGATATGTTTGTACAGTTTTTATACAAGAAATATACATGTGCAAATATACAGTTTAATTAATAATGCCTCGCCTAAAAAATTCAATAGCAAAAATATTTTATATACTTATGTGCTCGTATAGTTTTAGCTTTTGTTTTAATAACACAGGCATTCAGAGACGGTAAAATTCATCCGCAGTTTAGCTTAAGTTTATACTTGATAAAATAATAAAATGGTTTTCAAGATATCAATTTTGTTTTTAATTTTTATCCTAGTTGCTAGCTGTACTACAACTGACCCATCTGAAGCTGCAAGAGAGGAAGGTGAAGCTAAGGTAGTTAATACTATTATTTTAAACTATTATATGTTGTCAATATCTTCTTAAATCATTTGAAATATAAAAGTTAAAGTTTATCTATCTAATTTTCATTCTTATCTAGGAAAATATTATTTTTTTTGCTTAAAGACTTACAATTAAACTTCTTATCGTAAATATTTATAAATAAAATAAATTTTTAACATTGTTTGTTAAAAAATTGTATTTATAATATATTAAAATTGCAATTGTAATTTAATCATTTGAGTTAAACTTATGCTTATAAAACAGTTTTACCTAAAACTTTTTTAACCCAAAATTGTATTAATTTTACTATTCTGTAAATGATTAGACATTGTGTTTATCAGACATTGATTTAATAATTAATTATTAGATTTGTAAATTCGAAAGTAATAAATAATGAATTCTAAATAAAATAATTTTTTTTTTAAATCCATTCGGCATAGTCTTGTATAAGTTTTTGCTTAAGGGGCCTCTACACTTTTTTTTTTTTAAGGCGCATTGTACAGGAAATTTTCCGCTAAAACTTATCATTAAGTTAACATTTTTTAACAAAATATTATGCTATAGGAAAGAAGTATCTATTCTGACTATTTATTTTTTTAAACTTTTACATCCCATATAGAATCTATTTTTGTACAAAAACATATGTTTCTACTTCAAACGTACTGTTCCTAAGAATATTTCGAAAAGTATTGAAAAAAACATTTGAGTTCTTCATAACATTTTCAAGGCATCGACAAGGCACAATCTTACAAATATTTTAGTTAATTAATTATTCCAATACAAAAAACTTCAATTTTTTACTTTTTTAAACTGAAATAATTAATTAACAAAAATATTATTTTAAAATTGTGCCACGGTTTTTTCAAAACTTAAATCCGAGTATTCTTAGCAACAGTAGGTTTGAAGTAGACCCTTAAGTGTTTGACTTTGAACTTAGTAAACAGGTGTATGTATTATAGGGTTATATTGAAAATAAGAAAATAATTTCTAGACAAATGTATTATTTTGGCAACTACAAATAAAATATTCTCTAAAATAATTTAAAAAAACAAAACATTTTTAGGTTTAATTTTTTTTAGGATACCTATTTTAATTTATTTTTAGTAAAAAATACAAAAAAACAAATAATAATATTTCCTCCTAAAACGTGATAAATTTAAAAATATATTTTTTTTGCTGGTTAATAATAAATATACGTATATTTAAGTCTGTGTATTTTAATTTTACAATTCGAAGTTTTATGGAATTTAACTTTGTTTTGATAAACAAATTTTCAGATTATAGAAGATTCGTTCAATGATTGTTTTAAATATATCACTGAGGACCTAGTGTTCCAATCCAATTTACCTCTTGTGTTTTGTATATGGGAAAACCCATAGACAAATTTGAAATTCTGCAAAAGTACTTCAATAAATATGAAAATAAGAAAGATGGTAAATATTGCTATAATATATGCTATATATCGTTTGATAATATTTTTTTACCCTTTGAAGAGAAAATGTAAAGCTGTTGGTTAAGTGGTTAAGGAAGTATTGTCGTGAATGACATTACGCAATACATTTAAATTAAAACATTTTGTTTTTTTTTGTTTTAGAAAAAATGAATTTAAAACTATACAGTGAACTTTTTAAATACTATTGCAAGGAAAGAGATATATCTGTACAAGAATGCGCCGAAGAATGGAAAGATGAAAGGGTAAGATTAAAGCTTATATTATTAACTTTATTTTCATCAGCAAAATTATGTGTGCGTTATATTAGAGCAACCAATAAAATTTTCATTAAGCGACGCCTTCTTGGTATACTTACCACTACAATTAAAATATTTTATAATTTAATTAAAAAAAAAAATAACAAATATTTTAGGGGTTGAATTTTTTTTTTAGAATCGAATGAAAAAAATACTAAAATTAAAAATTACAGTTTGTCCTAATTTATTTTTATTGCTTGTTAGTTATATGATATATTTAAATGTATTATGTGTTCTTAAATTTGTCAATAGGATTTTTTATGGAATTCAACTTTGCTTTGATAACAAAATTTCAGATTATAGAAGATTTGTTCAAGGATTGCTTAAACTGGTACAATCAGGATCTAGAGAAACCGACTAGACGTATTTCATTGGATTATTTTATTAAGTATATGAGTAAACCCAATGAAAATGATCAAATCACGACTGAATACTTCAATGATCATAAAGATAAAGAAAAGGAAGAATTTGGTAAACATAACTGTAATACGCGTTATAGACAATTTCATAATATCTGTATTATCTTTAAAGCTAAACTGTAAAGCAGTTGGTCTAAGGAAGTATTCTCATTAGCATTTATTTAAATTCAAATAATTAAGTATCTTTTGTCGTACATCACAAATTGATTAGCTTTACCATTTTATAAAACAGTGTATGCGTCTTAAAACTGTTTAATAATTAACGTCAAGAGATATAAAAAGTGACCAAAAAAAATATCATATACAAATTTTTGTTTTTTTTTGTTTTAGAAACTTTACATTTACATCGATTTACTGAACTTTTTCAATACCATTGCAACAAAAAAAACATTTCCGTAAAAGAATGCGCCAAAGACAGGAAAGAAGCAGCGGTTAGGATAAAAAATTATAATAATAATGTATTTTTTTTAACAGTTAAAAAATACGTGTGTTATAAATGTATTATTTTATTTTTAGTAAAAAAAATGTAAAAATTAAATAATAACATTTCCAACTAAATCAGTTAATATTAAATTAATAAAAAAAATATTTGAAATTTTGTTGAAATAAATAATTGTTTTGAAAATGTTTTAAAATTGGAAATAAATTTTGTATTGTTGAAATATTTTCAGATTATAAAAGATTCGTTCAACGATTGTTTAAAATGGACGAGTCAAGATCTAAACTACACACGTGACTATGTTACCTCAGATCTATTTATCTATTATATGGGTGGTACCACTCAAGATTATGAAATCACCGACCAATTCTTCGAGGATCATCCAAGCGATATGGAAAATAAAGGTAAAAATAAACTATAAACTTTATATATACCTTCGTAATGTTTTTTTTCCTTGCCACACTATGCCCTGATTATTATAACATATTAAATTAAAAAATCCGGAATTTTGTTTTTTTTCCTTAGCCAAAATATATTTGGATCTGTATGGCGAACTTTTTAAATACCATTGCGAAAGTGTGTACCCTTTCTACACCTTAAGAAGATGCGCTGAAGCAAGGAAAAGTCAAGCGATATTGAGTGATCTTAAAGATATTGTAAGATGAGAGGGCACGTACACATAGCCAAGCTATGGTTATGTGACCGAGACTCAAAAATAAAGGTTATATATGAGAAAATAAAATATTTTTATAGTCTAATATTACAATTTTTTAATATAGCTAACCCTTTATAAAAAAATGTTTAAAAATCTCGAAAAAAGTTTTTAAAAATGCAATATGTCAAATATACCAGAATATAATAAAACGTATCAAAAATATAAAATCATGGAAAGTGTTTTTTTTTAAGTGCATATATTTTATGTTTTAATTGCCTATATTAATTAAAACAGTACAAGTAATTGGTGTGTTATGATAAATTGCACTGATGTATCATAGGTGTATCATAAGTGTATCGAATACAACAAGCTTCGATGCGAATCTGTAAATACTGGACTCCATTTTGGTTATTTCTTTACTAATATTTACTACTATTACTGAGCAGGTTTACACTGAGCTCGGTTTAGACTGTGCATTGTGCTGGTTTGAACTGTGTTTGGTTTTTGTACAGTGCCTACTTATGGATTTGAAAGTGTGTTCTATATAGGGTCATAGTCGAAAAATATCAACTACTTTACCACAAAACATAGAAACGGCATTTTTTAAATTTCTTTTATATTTGTTACATACATTTTACAACGATTCAATTTTTTTTTGTAAGACGCTAGATTTTGATAAATGCTGTTCAGCGTAGCGTATTTTTTTTATGTTTGTGTATAGTACACACGTGTTCATTTATTATTTGTATGTACTGGATACAGCCGTCTTTTTACAAACATTTCAACTTAAGACATTATATTTTAAAACGTTATAGACTACGGGACACTTGTATACACAAAAAAACACTTTGAATTTTAAAATCAAGAAAAACACTCGATAAATTTACATGTATTTCAAAATGTAATAAATCTTGAAGACCTGTACGCTCAATTATCACTATGCCCTAATACTAAGTATTAAAAAAAGGAAGTTGAAAAAAAAAGTATTATAACAATTGTAAGTAATTATCCTTAAAATCTAAAAGTGATTGACAATTCTGAAGACACTGAACCAAATGTTTATTTATTCCCATCAGAAAAACCCTGATGAAAACCCAAAAAAATTTGATAATTATTCAATATTTACTTTAACCCCTTGTAACTTTGATTGAAACCCCTATTCCACAATAAACTCAAATTTAAATTTCATCAAACTCCCAAATATACCGCATTTTATTTTTATTATAGAAAAACAGAGTATTCTAAAAAGTTTATATTGAATAGTTATTTTATAACCAAAGATTCACTACGAAATATTTGTTTGAGAATAATTATATCACTTTCATATAAAATAATTTATTCTTAAGCACCTTTGACCTCCCCGTATCTAATATGGCCTGTCACTACTATACCCCGACTTCACTTAGGTGTTTTTTTTTAGTTAAAACAAGATATATATATACTTGTATTAAATGGTAATATCGATAAGCAAATTTTCCATTGTATTAGTTTTTGCAAAGTTAATACTAATCTCTAACAATTAAAAGTGCTATTAAGGTATTCGCAATGTTCACGTTATATTCATAAAATAAAATAAATTTTTAATAAAAAAATGTGTACAAATTACAGACACGCCAAACATTTAAACTATTTTATAAAAAAATATCTGTGTCCACAAATTTTAAAATAGTAGGATTAATTCGAGAACATTGCAGGTAACCTGACTACTTGGCTAACCATTTTACCAAATTTTGCAGTTGTGTCATTGTTCTACCGGGGCGGCGATGTGTTAATTTGATTAAAATACACTGATAAATAGCTTTGAGAAGTACCTCTCATTTTGCGCCAAGCTAAATGATGCTGTAATGATTAGCAAAGTAATTTTGCGCGTTTTTATCATAAAAATAACTCAAAGAACCTACTGATAACACGGTCAAATGGATAACGACAGTAGACATCCAACTGTAGACACCGTAACTATTGACAACCTTACAACATAGAATATCTTATTTGTTATTTTATTTATATATTTTTTTTTTCGTGAATTGGTAACTGTATATTGTCTGTAACACTAGCATATCGTATCATACGATAATAATGATAATTATTAAATTGAATATATATATTTATTAAGCAATAAAATTAACAGTAACCTATAATAATAATGTGTAAAACACCCTATTAGTTCCATATAGAAGTTGGCCTTCGGGCGAATGGTGGCGCTATTTCCGATGTAAAAGCTGAAATATCGACTGCCACGGTTTTGTGACTTTGGAATCCAGTGATACTTGAGCGGGTGCCTCCAAATATACACAATTAAAAGACTACAAAAAAAAAGTTTTTTAACAATGTCTAAAAAACACTCTAAGATCGATTATTTTACTCTGTCATCATTTGAAGTGCGAACGCCAGTAATACGCATATACACTACCGGCCTTTGTTCAAATAGCAACAACTGCCAAGATCGTGCCGATTTATTAGATTTATCTGCAATCATGTCCCATTCTTTATTATTGACTGAAACTTCAATAGTGTAACCGTAGCTTCGGCTATCGCAGTCCCAAAGCAGCAGCCAATAAATAATGACAATACTAATATAATCTTAATCTTATTGCCACAGTTGAGCTAAAATTATTTTTGAAATATATTTCAGGCACAAGTAATATTATAATTAAATAATAGAAATCAAAGTAAAAGTGTTAAATGTTATGTAAAAGATTACCTCATTGAACTTAGCACATACGGTTGGGCGAGTTGAACCTCTATACACACTCGAGTTCACTTGATGATATGTATATCCGTTATACTTATTGTAGTTTTTATAGTCACCATTCAAAATGTTGTGAACCACCATTCGGGAACATTCTCTGTTTGAAAATCCCGGAATTCGCTTGATTGCAGTCGCATTCATAGACGATAAAGCAACATTAAACTTTGGAGCTAATAGATTAAAATTAGTTAATTAGATAAATATGTTTTTTTTTATACCATTCAAAGAACGAGTTACTTTCGTGTTGTCCCTACCAACTAATCCGTTTTTGATTTCCACCAAGGGCATTTTGTCCGTATTGTACACAACTTTTAAAAAACTAAAAGTCTTATTACTAGTATTTTTGGTACCAACAATACGGATGTACCTTACATATATTCGGTTAATCCACAAACGTTGAATTGACCGACAATCATAATTTGAATGATCAACTACACGCAACCAATCGCGCCTGTCCACTGATACTTCAATGTAATAAGAATAAGTGCTAAAATAACAAGAATTCGATCAAATGAATGGCTGTGTAATTTTTTTATCAATTAGGATGTCAAAAAAGCAAATCATGTATTTACACAATTGATGTGCAAAAATGATTAAAAAAATAATTAAAAGTCAGAACTCTTTGTTCGGTTCATTTACACATTTTTTTATTCATGAATAAATTAATTTCAATCTTGTTGGTATTCAAATAATATTATACTAAATCTTTGATTAGAAATATTGATAAATAAAAACAAACCATGAATCTACGTCACATAAATTCATTTCGATATAGTTTATACTCGATGGATGATGCAACATGACCATGGTACCGCCGTCGACTTGAGAAACCTCTATCGGATTTTCACGAGCGAAATTCACATTTGGTTCTAAAGGATAAAGTAGTTTATACTAAAATAGTTTGCTTAACATATTGTATTTACATTGAGCATACCTAGTCGTCCTCGATCATTTGACGTTTGTGTGAGGGACTCTTTTATGACATCTAAAATAATTGTATCCGAACGAACCAGCTCTGATCGCCTAACCTCAGACAGTTCTTCTTCGTCCATAAGCTGATATCTGACGGCAGATAAAATGTTGGTTTTATCGTCAGGATTTAAGGTGGCCTTGGTTCTTTTTGATCCAGTGACAAACCGCACGGGATATATCCAATTCGTTGGCGTACGCCGTGTCGCGATTGAGAATTAATTGTAATGCTTCCTAAAAATGAATATTTCTGTCGCAATTATTAGTTAACACGAGCAATATTGAGATTTTTTACTATAAAACATAATTACGGCCGACAAAGAGAGAGAATCTTCAGATAGCAATACGTCCCAAGCGTGTACGTCGATAAAATTGAGTGATTCGACTTCGAGTTCCTTGATCTGATAGTAAAGTGCCACAGAAAACAACGAACTTACATTGTGTACATCGATGTTACTCCGCAAATACTCGGACAGTGAAAATTGTAAGTTTGTAAAACGCCATACATTCGAGAGAATTAATAATTCCGAAATGACTTTTATCTAATAAATGAAAAAATACATAATATGTGTATTTGAAAAATCCTTTCCTGTAAAATATATTTATTTTCTTATTAAATACATTATAAGTTACCTTTAGTATACTTAAGTTTATTCGACCGCAGTAAATATACTCAAGATGCACTTTAAATGATGTTGCTGATCCTTCCTTTATTGTCACATCCTTTTTATGAGTTTCTATATGACCGCCATACAGCATTGCACTAATAAAAGTATCCAATATTTGCATAAAAAATGCATTATGTGCTACACCTAGTAAGACACATTGTATGGGCTACACAATTTACTTTCGTTTTTTTGAGTATGTTAGTTTATAATGAACAGCTATGTAATAAGTCATACAATCAGTTTGCATAATTACTATATCACTTGTTTACTTGTTTTAGAAAAATTAATTAATATTGTCATAAATATGTATAAGTGGTAATGGATCATATACTCAAATTATATTAAGCAAGTAAACTAACAATTATACATTACAAAACAGTAAAAAATCTTAAGGCAATCAATGCTGCGGTTTTTACAAGAACATTTAGGTTGGTTGATTAGGAAATTAGTGAACCTAACCTAACCGTAAAAATTAAAAAATATTCTTTTCTAAAAAATAGTAAAAAAGTAAAATAAAATTTACTAATAGAACAATTTACCAATCAATCGAAAAAGAGAATAATATGCTTAAAGAATATACCTTAGATAATAATAAAGATTATTACCTGAAATAATCACTGCGTGAGGCTAACACAACACGATGGGCATGGAAACGTTTTTTATCTACAACTAAAAGACATCCGAAAACCTAAAATAAATATCAAAATATATTATTAATATACTTATAAATGCTACAAATGAATAATAATTATTGTATAATATTAAATTTTTAAAAATAATACAGAGAAATTCCAAAAATAACTTTAGTTATAAACTACTTGTGTTTGTTTTATATATTTAATACTACATTCTGATAAATTTTATGCATTTATGTCCTTATTTGAGGGAGTGGTTCAGCGATAGCTGATTAAGTATCATCAATGTTGGTGATGTTAATATTCATATTTGTACATAGCAAGTTCCTATTAATTGTAGAAATAAATAGTTTTAAGCTGATACTTCAATAAAATAAATAATTATAATAATAATCTTACACGATTTGGACTATAACATAAATTAAAATATCCTGCTTTAAGGATATAATGTTATAAATTGAATGGCGTTAAGCAGAAAGCAACCAACCCACAAAATTAACTAATTGTGTTAACGATACTGATAAAACATTATAAATAAGTTTAGTGATATTGTTAAAGCCCTAGGCAGCCTTCCTATATAATGCCATAAACACATTGTTCACAGTGTCAAACATGTAATAGACGCTCCAAGAAAAAAATCTTCTTCTTTATATAATCAACTAATTAAAGAACTAAACAATATATGTAAATCTATAGTATTAAAAAAGATAACGACCCCAACGGAATAGATTAATTCATTTGTCCCTGTAATTAAGAAGAATAATAGATATGGATCCAAAAAATTTGAATAAAGCCATAAAAAAATCACATTATATTCTTCCTACTTTTAAAGTTATTTAAATTCAGTTATATACCGCCAAACATTTTCCAACATAAGATGCCAACTCAGTTTCCTGGATGATTCCCCAAGGAAAGAATTTCTAAACTTTGTTGTTTTAATACACCTTTAAGGTTAATATTAATTGCTCCATTGCTTGATTATTTTGATAAAGAAACATTGCTGAAGAGTTAGTTTTACATAAACAATCATTTAAAGAGAATCTAGCGGTAGATTAAAGATAGTTAATAAAATTAAAAAAAAAACTTCTAATGATTTTGAAAAAGTGCATGTTGTAGAAGGTTTTATGATATAAAGCTTAAAACTGAAAATGGTATAGGAGAAATAGAAAACATATTATCATTTACATTGAAATATAATGAAGACTTTAGATGAGAATAAATTGCAGTAAGAAAACTAATTATTCAAATTCTCCCATAGTTCTTTAACAGCATGAGGCATATCTATTTTATATGGTAGGAAATAGTAAAATTTAAGATATATTTATGTTAATTGTTGATTATTTGTATGATTTGTATGTCTGTATTATTTATTTCTATCTTGTTTTGTCCCTAATATTTTTTTAATTTTATTACTTTATTTTTTATATGTGATAATTTTATATTTTATAACTAGTATGTTTTGTTTATAAGAATTATTTTTATTTACTAGTACAATTTTTTTTTTTTTAGGGGAATGTTATAGTAGGCAACACTGTTATTATAACATTATAATGAAATATTATAATATGTCATAATATATACTTTTCATTTAAATACAGATTGCTAATGTCGTTGGACAAGAAGTGAGTGTGATCGATTTGCTCGTAACCGGCCGGATTGTCCGAAGACGATGGATTCTCGGTAGGATCAGAAAATGCTAAAAAATGACATTAATTTTACAAACGAATTTGTATAGTATATTTGCGATATGAATTAACGTCTAGCCAATTGATTTAAAATTTATTTTTTAAATTTTGTACTTAAGTTTTTAAAAAAATAATAATGATAGTTTTAATGGGCGAGTGTAGTATAGTTTTATAATTGTAAAATAATTGAACAATTTTTCATTTTTTTTTTAAATATTGTTTTTTGGTTTTTCAAATGAAAAAATAACAATAATTTAATTGCGTATTTGCAGTACGGTTCAATAATAATTGTGAAATCGTTTACCAATTTTAGTAATTAATATAAAATTAAGCACAGTGACTACGGACTAACCTTGCGTTAAACTTGTTAAAAATATCAAATTAGCCTCCACTAGAGCTTTTTAGAGCTTAACTTAGACATTATAATTAGTCAGCAAGGAGGTTTTATGAAGGGATAAGTAAGTCTTACTAGGCCATCTTTTAGTGAGAAAATAGCAAATACCGTGGATTACGATAATTACCATAATCGGGTTCAGAATATAACGCTTAAGATTTTATGCTGCGATTATAAGAAGGCAATTACTTATGTAGATGCAAATGAAATATGTTACGTACCCGGAGTTGACCTTAAAACGATTAGCACAATAAAATAAATAAACACCATCGTGTTAATTTGATCTATGAATACTATACGAAACCCTTAGAAAAATAATACACCGTCCATAGGTATTGAAAACTAACAAAAATATATTGTTTTGATAAAATAGCGCACTATTTTTTAGCATACGTGATAGTGTTTTAAATAGAAAGAATTATGTACACAACTGGTGTGCGTTTTTTGTGTGAGGCATGTAAAATATTTTTTTTTTTCTATAAAAAAAATTGATCGAGAAAAAGAATGTTTTCAAAATACGTGTTTGTTAGGTGAAAATGTAAAATTAAGCTAATATAATATTGTTGTAAACATATAATACTTTAACTAGTATTATAATAAAATTGTTTATTTTTCGGCTGTATTTCATCCAAAGCTTCTTTAAATACAAGAAGAGTTTTCTATTCAACAAATAGATTGTTAAGTTGTTTTATAAAAAAATATCACTCTTGTTGATGATTAATAACCCTGATCAACCCTTGTAAATACGACACTAAATTAAATTTAAAATGATTATTTATATCCTAGTTCTCCGGTGCCTTTAAATCAATTTACCACTTGCTATTCAAAGAAGGTTTATTTTTTCTCTTAAATGAATCATAAATAATATGTTTATAGTACTTGGAGGCTGGCAGACAAATATAAGATACATTTAAGTCAAATAATATTATACAGGATGATTCTTTTATCTCGAACCAGTCAATATCTCACTGGGTTTAATTAATAAATTAATTTTTTTTTCTTATTGTTTTTATACAACGTGATCTCAATTTTTCACAATTTTTTTTTTTTTACCCTCCTTCCAACTTAGATGTTTTGGTAGCAAATTTTGAAACATAAATGGTAAGGTAAATAAAATTTGAAACGCTAATTGTGTTAACGATACTGATAAAAACATTATAAATAAGTTTAGTGATATTGTTGAAACCCTAGGCAGCCTTCCTATGTAATGTCATAAACACATTGTTCACAGTGTCCAAAATATAATAGACGCTCCAAAAAAAAAAATCATCTTCTTTAAATAATCAACTAAATAAAGAACTAAACAATATATATAAATCGCCTACTTGACTACTGTACTGCACACAATAGATATACTCTTGATCATTTTTTAATTAGTCAGGATTGGCAAGAGTGGGTCTAAATTTTTTTTTTATAAAAGAGTGCCAAGATTTATTTAGCAATTGTCATCTTATTCCTAATATTATCAGTCTACAATTTTTTTACTTTTTTTTTTTAATTTATATCGTCGCTCAAGATGCACACCTTGTATATCCTCATTTGTCGGCCAAATCAAGTTGGCCACACTGTTTTATTAAGGTAACTATTAATTGGTGCGCGCAGATAAAAATAATACTACACTTCCTCTTTCCTTCTGCATCTAAACTTCAATAACTTTAAAAATAATCATTCAAAACTGGTTATAGGCCAGTCTATAGTTGTTATTAATTATTCTCAATTAAAACAAATAATGAATTGTATGCGTTACCATTTTTATAAAAGTTGCTATCAAAAATACTAAGTTGGAAGTCAGGTAAAAACAAAAAAAATAATAAATTTAATTCATTTACTACTTTATACATATTTTACATAATTAAACCAACTAAAAAATAAGTATACGTATATAAAAAGTAAAAAAAAAAATTCATTAGTTTTTACAACCACAGTAAAAGGAAGTTTTGCAGAAACAATTCCCATTTTTTATATTTTTTTTCACGAAAACACCATTGTTTATTATATGTAAAATACAAATAATTTTCACAAATGTAATGCAAATGTAATCCATTTTATTTGGACATTCCCAATTATTATACTACTATTATAGTATAATACTGAGTTTTTTATTTACTTTTTGATACTGACATCACCTGTGGCATTAGTCCATCTACCTTCATAGTGTCAACACATTCCAATATCATAGCAAAAACCAAGTTCGAAGATCTCGGTATCGTAAGTTATAAGTATGTCTCTTATACACTGTACATTATACTGTCTATTTGCTGTAATTCATTGATATAATAATTGATCACCTTTTCATTTTCCTTTTTTACATTACTCGTATAGTTTTTTACTAAATTCACGGCCACCCTGTTGAAACTATTGTTTCAGTCGATTTTCGAACAACCCGTTTACTTAAAAAAAATGAACACTAACCATTTGAGAAATTTAAATCGGATTTCAAAAAAAAATTTAAATGGAACATCAAACATCGCTTCTTACAATATCCTAGAAAATAAATCGAACCATTCTTAGTAGGCTTAATAATTTTGGGGTTTCAAAAACTACACTCGAGTTTAAAAGTAATAGGTAATAAGTATTAGTCACACAATATTATTTTATATGAGAATGAACACTATATTTTTGAAATAACGCGTTATCATTTCAAAATTACTTGTATAATCATTGTTTTAAAACTAGTTTATGAGAATTAGCAAAAAAGCACTGAAAAAAAAAATATAGAAATTATTGTTTATTGAGTAGTAGTAAAGTAGTATAATAGAGAAATTTTTTATATTTATGTTTAATGAACTCGGCCTTAAATAATTATTTGCATTAATTTATTGTTAAAAATAAGGTTTTAAAATGTCAGTGTACCCGATTTTGCTGCATACAGTAGCATGTGGATGGTATGTATTCCTTTGGAATCAATTTTTTTTATTACCTACAAAGGACATAGAAGAATTGCATCCCATATACCAACATTTTATTGAATACAAAATGAGGTTCTTCACAAACTGGAATGTGGTATGCATAAGCTCTTTTGAAAATATTATTTTAACTAATCAAACCGATTTAAATTATTTGTAATATTGTTTGTACCTTACGTCTAAAATGACCAATATCATTTATTGAAAGAATTATGAGTTGAACTCATAAACGTGTAAATAAAAATACTTTTTAAATTAATAGTGAAAAAAATTGATCATGTATAGCCGCAGTATATGTTTATGTACAAGTTTATGGAACTAAAAAAGTTCTGCGTGACCTACCAACAAAAAAAACCAGTACAGTGGGGTCGGTGCATAGTGGGGACGGAGCATAGTTGGGTCGGGGCATAGTGGTGACGGGGAGATCACAGGTTTACAGGAATTTTTAAATCTGAAAGTGATAAAATCACTTTCGAAAAAACGCTTTGATGCAAATCGGTAGTTAGTATTTTCAAGCCAGTACAGTCCAAACCAAGCACAGTATAAACCAGCAAAGTTAGAAAGTTTTAAATGAAGGTTCTGTATTTACAAATGAGCATCAAAGCGTTAATTTTAAAGCGATTTTATCCGAGAGGACTAGTACAGTAGAATATTGGCATAATGTAATCAAAGCAATGAGGAAACGGAGAGGTCACAGGTCTACAAGAATAATTATAAATAAAAGTGATAAAATTGAATAAAATCGCTTTCAAATAAACGCTTTGATGCTCATTTGTAAATACAGAACCTTCATTTAAAACTTTCTAACTTTGCTGGTTTATACTGTGCTTGGTTTGGACTGTACTGGATTGAAAATACTAACTACCGATTTGCATCGAAGCGTTTTTTCGAAAGTGATTTTATCACTTTCAGATTTAAAAATTCCTGTAAACCTGTGACCTCCCCGTCACTACTATGCCCCGACCCAACTATGCTCCGTCCCCACTATGCACCGACCCCACTGTACTGGTTTTTTTTTTTTTGCAAAAACTTAGTGGACCAAATAACACATATACAATGTCTTGTTATATTTTGTTGGAATGGTCGACGATTCATGTTTCAATCGTTTGTACTCCATAGTTTAAATTATAATCGCTTATTCTCAATAACATTAATATTAATGTATTATATACTTCCATTAAAGCAATCTCACACAAACTATTTATACTTCACAGATTATATTATTTCAAAGCTATATTATACATCTATTTTTCTAGATTGACAATGTACAAAATAAAATGCAACTAAAAAAACCTTTTCATAGATCCTTAAAATGTAAAGGGTGGGATAGTGAAACGGGTTTTACCATTTAAATACATTAGAAAATCGCCGTTTTACTGCCTCATCCTGTATATTCATTTCTTGTTATTTTCTAAAGAAAAATCGATTTTCTTACATTTAAATTAAAATAAATCGTATACTGGTACTGTGATGGAGAAATAAATAAATTTTACCTACATATATTACTTATTAGTTAAATATTACTAACGTGTATAGCCACTAACAGTCGGCTGTTGCCTGTTATTTAACAATAACCTTTTATGGAGATTTTAAAAATTGTGTTTTTTTAATAATAGCATAGGAGCAGTATCATGATGTTAAATGTTCACGAGATTTGATCTAGTCATAAAATAAAGTATTATCATTTATGACTTAATTATTATTAAAATTTATCTTAATAGTAATAGTACATAGTAATAAAATGTAGTATAGTAATGAAATATTTTATACAAAATTAGAGCTACAAGTTGATAAACTAAAAAATTAAAATTAGCGGTATACTGCATAAAAACCAACACTTAATCTGAATCCAAAAAACAACAGTCCTCTTCATTATTTGCAGGTAGTTGGACATTATATACTCATAGTTAAACTTCGGTAAGGTTATTTAACGCAGGCTATAAAATAACGACAGTGGTTTTGTCGTATCAGAATCATTAAGTGTCTTAATAAGTACACGGATATGTTTTTTTCCCATTAAATCGAGTTTCTACTATAATCAGTTACACGATTTAGTCGCCTGTGATATCATGTAATAAACACAATATTATGATACCGATCATTGGGCCCTAAACTAATCTAACACGGATAGACGTTACCAACTGATAAATTTTAGTGTCTGTTCGTTTCTCACATCCGGTACACCGGGTTTTTAGTTAAAAAAAAAAAAAAAATTTGTGTAAACTTAAAGTCAAAAGTGGTACTTGAGCACAAAACCTAATAGTATCATTCTGCATAGATATAAATAAAATTGTTTTAATGATTTGATCAATTTTTTTTAAAGATTTTAGGTGTTTTTGTTAAAATATATGAAATCTGCGAAAACACAGTTTCCCGGCAATTAAAAAAAAACTGTAGTGCCGAATTTTTTTCCCGTTTAATATGTTATGGGTACATATGAGTTTCAACTACTGGCAAATTTTCAACCCACAAGTTTCAAAATTACCGCTAAAAACCCCGAAAAACAAAAAAAATTGTACCCCCCCTAGGGGGGTGGGAAATGGGTATAGTTTAAGTTTGACACAACTGACGTGTGCGGGCATACCAAATAATTATTTTTTATACATTTCAACTCGATCCGACTCTTTTTCTCGAAATTATAGCCAGTAAAAGTTCTAACTTAAAAACTCGTACGGTTTTTTTTTTGTTTTTTCAACTTTCGTCTGTGAAGAATTAAACTTTTTCAACTTTTATCCCCCCCCCCCCCCCCAAAGTACCAACTAGATGAAATTTGCGATTTATAGAGTTGCTACTCGAAGGAATTGGACCAGTATTAAAAAAGTTACAGTGTATACAGATAAAAAAAAACACACATCAGAGTAAAACCAATACCTTCTCGCTTTGCATCGAAGCTAAAATATATGTATATATTAATATATATACCTAATAACTTTTTAATAACATACATAAGTAATATAAAAAAATTATTATATATTTTTATTAAATAATATAATATTAAAAGTATAACATTTAGTAGTAGGCCTACTATATATTATGGAATTTTAAAATTATAGTTTATGCAAACGTTATACTTCAGCGGCTGTTTACTTCACGATATCATGAAAATTCTCAAAGGTCCAAATTGGCTTAACTTGGGAATCAAATTTCAAAATTTACTGTCTGATAGTTTTGCCTCTCTTATACTACCTTCTGGAATAGTAAGTAAACTATTACTATTTGAATATTTTTCATGCAAAATACAAATATGGTATTCATTGTACATTTGTACGTATACCTGTGCTTCTCATTCTATGAATATGTTTTTTAGATTCAATTTTGTTTTTTTTGTCGCCTTAAATAAGTAAAATCATATGATGGCAAAGGGGACTGGAGAGAGGCTGAAGGTTAGGTTGACAGTGTCACTGATTCCATTCCTAATTTAAAATCAACAATTATTTAGGTAGATCGAGACACATTACACTTCTAGTATATGTTTCTTTAAATGCTTTCAATTAGAAAAATAATCATTTTAAACTAAATTACTTTTACTATTTTACTAAATATTTTTTCCCATAGAACAAGCTTGTTTTAATAAATAAATTAAATGTGCTGGAAATGTCTCACTAAATATTTGTAAAACGTATAAATTATAAATTATATTTTATAATTTCAGGTAGTATCGGCGACGTTTTGGATCTTTTACGGCATTGACCGAGTGCTCATTTATCCAAAAGTAATAGACGACTATATACCGATTTCGCCATACCATGGATTGCACACTGTAATCTTACTGCTGGTTTTCGCTGAAGCAATGACTACTAAACACATATTTATGCCCGTGAAAGTTCGAGCAACGATCTTTCTTTCCTTCATAGCTTTTTACTCAACCTTGTAAGAGCATTGTCTTTAATAGTTTACTACCGAAAATTATTAAAGTGTCTTTTTTAAATTTAGTCTTGTGGTAACCTATGTGGAAAAAGGCCGTTGGTTGTACCCGCTAATCGAAAAGTTCAGTTTACCAGTAGCAATAGCCGTAATTATATGTTTTCAGTTTGCCATCGCTGGATGTTTTTTTGCCGGTATCTTCATTCAAGATCAAGTCTGGGGTAAGACCCTGTTTATATTAAAATTCAACATTACCTAAATTAATGTAATGCACAAATTGGGTTATACTATCATAATTGTACATAACGATTAATATCTAAAAAGTAATTTTTTTGTTTAAGGTGAAGAAGAAAAGAGAGAAAACAGTAAAACTGTAGAAAAATCAGAATAACTCAGTTCTTCCTAATAAATATAGTATTTAGTATTTTCCATACCTTTAAATAACATGTCATGTCTTCTTATTGACATATCACAATATGTGACGTTCCCGAAATAAACAGATTATAGTAATATAATAAATTGGATATCCAAATTAGCTTTAATGCTCAAATAAAGGTTTAATTATGACTCAACCTAACATTCCCGGAAATAATTGAAGTTTGACACATTATGTACTTTAATAGTTTGCCGCGTTATGATCACGTCACGTGTATTATATAAATGCTGCACCGTCTATTGCTAGAATTAATAGTAAATAAAATTCTTAATACTTCTTATTATATCAATCAGACACTATGCTACACAATTAATAAAATATATATATAAAAATAGGTAGGATATGGATAGGAAACTCTTGGCTGAACGTTAGCTCCAATGAAAAGTACGAAATAGCATTTAAGTATTTTAAGAGTTATTGGTTGTCTCACGTTAAATGAATCAGTCGGTATGTACTCCTAGTAAATGACGTTACACTGCACTAACCCTTTGCATAGTGATATTGTATAATTACCACAAAAATGAAAGTAAGCTCAACGGTTAAAAGAACGAAGAAGGAAACGGACGGGCGCCACACCATGTACGGGCAGATATCACCACCAAAACGCTTGCGGTCTAGAAGAAGTTTCCTGAACAGCTGTGAACCACTGAGTGTTCCACCTCAGGAAGAGTGAGATATTATGGCAGGTAGAACTTACTTCCACGAAGTTCCCCGAAAAAAGATAGTCTCCTCACTGGATATAACCTCCTATATGTAATACGGAGAACGTTAAACTTACTAGGAAAGTAGGCGTTAATAGTACAAACAGTAATAGTAGTATATAAAATGCCGGTTCTGGGCATCATAGGGATGCCGCCGGAAATTAAAATTCCAATGTTATCACAGGTGCATGCCGTGGGCAATTAAAAACCTATTAAAATTCCAATGTTATCAACGGAAAGTGCTGACGTGTACAATTTTTTTTGCTACAATTGACGTCACACGAGTGTACCTATGCTGACGTCATATTGACTACCGCCGTCAACTCGCGGTGTCGTCAAATTGGAATATTACCATACTCTTATCGCACACAGATATATGTGTGATACCTAAGCTAAACTACAGAAAAAAACAATTTTTCATTGTACATTTATGAGTAATTAAAAGGCGATGATCACACACGTGTGACATGTTTATCATTGCTGCGCGCGCGTGTAATCTCTTCTATGTCGTACGCTCACGTCCGTGTATGATAACATTGTGTTATCTTTTTTCAATGGTCATAGTATATTGGGTTTTTCATAAATTAAATTTTAGTTTAGTGCGAAGGATGCCGACACCTATTGTTATACTACAATGTCAAGGTCAATGACGTAAACAAGTGTGTAATTTTACCGACACCTACTATTAATTCTATTTAAAATTTGCAAGCTCAGCATTTTTCTAGCACTCAAAGGAAGCCGATACCTATTGTTATAATCAAAAGTCCATTGTTATCACAAGTATATTTTCATAGGTCAGTAATCTCTATACATATAAAATTTGTGACGCCATTATTATAATCCTATACCCTACACCTTGTCATCAAATTGAATGGAACAACAAATGACGTCACACGAGTGCACAGTCAGTTACGTAAACAAATGTATAATTTTTTTTTTAATTTTAATTGCGACTCATGACGTGACGTCACAACAATTTATTGTAATTGCAAATGACATCACACGTCCGAAAATGCAACAATCACACACATGGAATTCGTTTATCATTGCTGAGCGTGCGTGAAAAATTTATCTATATCGTTCACTCACGGCGGCGGCATACGGATGTGTCTGTATCAGTTTATTTGTTATTAATAACGATTATATGACATTGGGTTTATCATAATATTGTCAATACCTGTAGAACCATATACCAGGTAACCACATACCTTTTGTGAACCTAACCCAGCTTAGTGTGAACTTACAAAGCACGGTTAAACTCGCAATCTACGGGTGCAGAGGACTTCTGTCGGATGACTGAACTCTTGGTTGGTCCTATATAAATATGGTAAGACACCTGACCTATCCCTGAGGACCACACTATGATAACAACTCTTGTACAGACAGTGGGACACCTGACGTATCGCTGCGTAGGATATTGTTTCCCAACCGCGCTTCCCCTCCCGTTCTAACTTTTACTATTTTAACTTTAAAAATGGTTGTCCAAAACTGGTTATCAACCAGTCAACATTTTTAGTGCATTATTCTAAATTTAAACAGTTTATTAAATATATACGTTACCATTTAAGTTTCAAAAGTTGCTATAAAAAAAAAAACTAAATTGGGGAAAGGGGGTAAAAACAAAATTTTTTTTGGAAAATTTAGATTATATTGTATAAAAACATGGAAAAAAATAAATGTCTAATTAAAACCTATGAAATATTGAGTGAACCATGATAATAATATCACCAATTATATATTTGATAAAATACTGACTTTTGCATACTTTTTTACATGTTTTCCTACCAACCTTTTTGATTATAAATTATTAATAATTTATTATTTTTAATTTAAGAAATTTATTTCTAGAGCAACCCATGGATGGAAAGAGAGTGCAAAAAAAGTGGCAACCGGCCACTATAATAAGTGTATATTTTAAATATTTTATTTCTGTACCCATGATAGGGCACCGCGCCCGTACCATAGGCTAGCCTAGGGTCTTATATATATCCTAAATACGGTCCTGCATGCAAGTATTATGACATACAATATAAGAATACAGGAATGTGCCGGTATCGGAAGCCTTAAATCAATTTTAGCAAAATGCCGGTGAAAAAAAAATGCAAAATCCGAAATAGCTACATAAAATTCCTTGAAATAGTGAAAAGTAGACGTCGAGGGAGGAGCGCAGACATCCCGCAACCCATATCACAACTTAATCGTTTGCAAAATCGATCAAGCACTTTGCTGTAAGTCCACAGTAGATGTATAATACATAAATGTATAGATACCCACTTTGTGTTTGTTTGCGCCATCAGATGTTACACAAAAAAAAATAATTTCTATACGTCGACTCGGTAATGTGTGGGATCCGGGCGGCAGTTGTTTTAAAAATTTAACAAATCATTATATTATATATAGATAGTATGTATAATGATATAGATTAGTCGCGGTGGACAGAGTATGAATAAAACCGTGTGTATGTGATTTTATACTCTACAATGATAATTTGTTTTGAAAAAAAAAACAGAACTGTAAATAATTGTAATATTATGGTGAAATAAAGTATTTATTTTATATTCGTGACATACCCAATGTTGTACAAAAATCATTATATTACTATAGAGTCATTGATGTACGTTACAACAAGTAATATATTACATATATATGATGTATCATGTTTTAACACTAAACGAATGGAATCGAACATAAAATTACTATTTTTTTTTCCAAGTTGATAGTTTGTTTAAAACAGTTATGATGTATAAATAGTGAATACTTTTTATCTCTATGTTGCATTTTCGGACGTGCGATGTCATTTGCAATTAAAATAAATTGTTGTGACGTCACGTCATGTGTGGCAATTAAAATTTAAAAAAAATTATACACTTGTTTATGTAACTGACCATGCACTCGTGTGACGTCTTTTGTTGTTCCATTCAATGTGATGACAAGGGGTGGGGTATAGGCGTGTGATAATGACGTCACAAATTTTATATGTATAGATTACTGACCTAAGAAAAAAGATATGATAATTTACTCGTGATAACAATGGACTTTTGATTATAACAATAGGTGTCGGCTTCCTTTGAGTGCTAGAAAAATGCTGAGCTTGCAAATTTTAAATAGAATTAATAGTAGGTGTCGGTAAAATTACACACTTGTTTACGCCACTGACCTTGACATTGAAGTATAACAATAGACAGCGGCTTCCTTTGATGCCCAGAACCGGCATATTATATATTACCAGCACACACTACACACGCACACATTATACTACAAATAATAGTATAATACTGAGCATTTAATATACATTTTGTTATCGACATCACCTGTGGCATTAGTCCATCCACCTTCATAGTGTCAACTCATTCCAACCTCATCGCAAAATCCAAGTTCGAAGCCCTTGGTATCGTAAAATATTGTGTCTCTTTCGTTTATACATTGTACATTATACTGTCTATTTGCTGTAATTCATTGATGTAATAATTGTTCACCATTTCATTTTTCTTTTTTGCTTTACTCGTTTTACAAAATTCACGGCCACCCTGTTGAAACTATAGTTTCAGTCGATTTTCGAACAACACTTTTACCTAAAAAAATGAACACTAACCATTTGAGAAATTTGAGTAATTTAAATCGGATTTCAAAAAAAAAAATTTTAATGGAACATCAAATATCGGTTCTTACAATATCCTAGAAAATGAATCGAACCATTCTTAGTAGGCATAATAATTTTGGGGTTTCAAAAACTACACTCGAGTTTAAAAATAATAGGTAATAAGTATTAGTCACACAATATTATTTTATATGAGAATGAACACTATATTTTTGAAATAACGCGTTATAATTTCAAAATTGCTTGTATACTCATTATTTTAAAACTAGTTTATGAGAATTAGCAAAAAAGCACTGAAAATAAAAATATAGAAATTATTGTTTACTGAGTAGTAGTAAAGTAGTATAATAGAGAATTTTTTTATATTTATGTTTGATGAACTCGGCCTTAAATAATTATTTGCATTTATTTATTAGTAAAAAAAAGGTTTTAAAATGTCAGTGTACCCGATTTTGCTGCATACAGTAGCATGTGGATGGTATGTAATTCTTTGGAATCAAATATATTTATTACCTACAAAGGACAAAGAAGAATGGCATCCCGTGTACCAACATTTTAATGAATACAGATTGAGATTCTTCACAAACTGGAATTTGGTATGCAAAAGCACTTTTGAAAATATTATTTTGACTAATCAAACCGATTTAAATTATTTGTAATATTTTTTGTACCTTACGTCTAAAATTACCAATATTAATTATTGAAAGTATTATGAGTTAGACTCCTAAACGTGT